TTTGTAAACTATAAGAAATTACCCTCACAAATCTTTCCATTTTACAGTAAATTAAAACACGATCCATCACAGATATTTTGATGTTAAACAAAAATGTCATGACTCAGATCGGAAGACCAAGAATCATTGGTTATATTTTTCTTCTGGTAATGCTTTTGCCAGTTAAAAACAAAAGTGTTGTAAAATAAGAATATGTTACTCGTATTTTAATCTATGGCTGCATTCATGATGGAAACTTCCTGGTATTAATTGCTAGTATCAAGTTCCATTAAACAGGTCAAGGAATCTACCATATATGAATATTGTTGTCATTGCGCACAGAGGTGCTTACAGCGAGCAATTTTCCAATCCAATGAATGAGCCGAAAAGCATGATGGTCTACTATATGTTTATATTTTACCATCTTCGCTAGCCAAGGGTTTCTGATACGCTACTATCCTCATAAACCCTTGGCATACGGTGTTAAAAAAAGTTGGGATTTTTTTCTCAAGTTGTGATTGGAGTTGATCGACATCGTTCGACCAATCAGTAATTGTTTTTTGTAAATGAGGATATTTGCGTTCGGGATACATCTTGACTCTTTAATATCAGGAATGAAAAACGCAAGTAAACAACGATCCGTTAGATAACATGCCATTCTATGAATAGCTATATGGTGTCATCCAAAATCGTGCAAAATATGTGATTAAGAATCCATACTGAAGATGTAGATTTGCATTTTAACATGTTTAATAACAAATTAACATAACTCAATACCTTCTTGTTAATTTTTCTTTAAAACATTATTTTTTTTTAAATACGCTTTTTATTTCTGTCGATGACGCAATCTGTGCCAACCAGAATCGTGATCATGTGACGAAAACAATCCCGTCTTTTGTCAGCACCGTATGCCAAGGGTTTATGAGGAGAGTAGCGTATCAGAAACCCTTGGCTAGCGAAGATGATATTTTACTACAAACACGTGGGTCAGGGAAATTTAAGACGCGATTTCAAATGACTGCGGGAAAGTCAACTAATAATTATTTTTAATGTTTTTGTGAAAAACACAAAGAATAGGTATTAATTAAGATTTTCCATGCTCACAATAACAAACAAAGTCAATTTTCCGTGTTAAATAGTACGTTGAAATACTGCTCACAAAGTATTCACAAGTAAATAAGTACCCAGTTTTTATAACTTGGATATTCGTAAATTTGCCATGCTACTGGTGATATTCGTTGTTACTTTGTTATTTGTTTACTAGAAATCAAAAGTTAATGCAGTTATAAAAAACATAAGTCTATTGTTGTACGGTATTTTAATTCTCGTACAGTGATGATCGAAGAACGTGTATTGAGTAGCATATATATCGAAGTTGTATACGTAGTTAACAATGACAATACGTGAGTACACCTTGTTTTGGACCAGGGAATAGTCACGTGAAATTCATACTGAGTGATAGTACAGCATGGGAAAAACTGCCAGGCTATTGTCAACAAACGGACTTATACAATGGAGTGGAGAAAACCCAAATTTTTCCATTGTGAAACATTTTTATGTAAATGTGAGCATGGAACTAGTAGATAATGATGTACATATTTTATTAAGTGTGTTGCTTGCAAAAATGCATCATGTCTTTCCGAGAGCGATTTCAAAAACTGGCCTTTTTGAAATGTACATGTAGTATTTTTTGTAGTAACCCAGAATGCACTCATTTAGCTGATTTTCGGTTTGCCAGTCACGTTGGGTGCCTCGTTTAGCATGTAAATTTATTCTGACGTCACAGAAGATAGTAAAGGAACATGAAGCAGTTACTGCACTTTGTGTATAATGTATTGAAAAATGCTCAAGGTAATGCTATATATATTCTAAAACACTGAACGCTCCATTATCTCTGTAAAAAAAAAATGCAACTGGGATTCTGACTCTGAACTTTTCTCTACCATTTTCCATGTTGAGCAAGGTCATTCTTCATTCTGAAGTTGTAAGGCCTGAGAAAAATATGCATATATCTACTATTGGATGCTAATAAAAAGTAGGATCATTAGATACGATTTATATTTTGAAAAATTATTTGTTTACCATAAAGGTATACATTTTTTTTTTAAAAGTTTGAAATTCTCTTTTTCTGGCCATAAAAAGGTCTAAAATGAATTATGGAGATAACAAACAATAATCAAGTTCAAAAGTCCATTGAAACAATACAAATAGGAAGGAGAACACAGACCTCTAAAAGCATCAGAGGTGGAATCAGGTGCAATGGAGGAATAAGCATCCCTTGTCAACTGTCACACCGGTCATGTGCTCCTTGTCATGATCGGCCAAACAAAAAAATTCGTAGACGATTCAGTAAGTAAATAATGGCCTAACAATTAGTATGAAAAACATCAGTCAATGTTGGACTTAATGATAGATTGTATTTACTGACAAGGTCATTTTATCGACTGTAGAACTTGCGAAATATTGACTTCAAATGAGAATGTGGATATCCTTGTTTCATTAACTTGTTTGTCAATAGCATGCCTCATTTAGAAATTGTTTGTATCTAGAGCATGCTCTTGCATATCGAATCAACTGGGAGGCATAAACTCCTTATGCAGGTGATAAGGGTATATTGCTACGTAAATAAGGGAAGTGTTACAGACATGCAATTTTCTGAATTTTATAATGAAAAAAAATATTTGAGTCAGTGCATAAAATTAGGGTCAGTCAAGTAACTGTAAACAAACATATTTTTTTGTTAGGCCTAAGCAGCATTTATTTCTTCTTTCAAATGATATTGCTCACACAATGAATTGTTATGGTGTTCACAACATTATTAATACCAATCACTATTGATCTTTAATGGACTTCTCCTTAGCATCATGCATCCCTTTATCAGATTAGACTGAAAAGTATAATTAAATTGTATTCACAACTTGGTTTGCACCTGTCACTGACTAAAATGTTAAGTTATCCTCTTTTAAATTGTAGCAAAAAGTTAGCATAGTCATTTCGCGATCTTTGGACTTGTCTTTGATATGTTTGATAAATCATGACTGTAACCATGTTAAAAACTTGAGTAGCTTTGACTTGTGACCCTAAAGTGAGTCTTTGCATTTCTCCGGATACATACCACTTCTTCAGAAAGTTAAACACTGAAGGTCAAATGATTCTCTAAATGTGTCCAATAGCTCTCTAAATATTGTGTCCACAACACTATTAATGATGCATTTAACTTTGACCTTGACCTTTTGACTACTGAATAACTTTCTTTGGCCAACTTCAACCACTTAAACAAGGATGAAACAGAAAGGTTAAGTGGTACTTGACAAAAGTCCTTTTCTCCATGAGGAGAATCAGGCCATGGATAAGTTCTTTTCCATTTTGGTCTCTTTTTAGATTTCACAGGGGGCTTCAGTCAACAGTCTAAATCCTTTTGTTTCCTTTCCCTTTCTACAGTTACTGTAAACCACCACACTCTTAAAGTCTTGATCATTATACCTGGTAAGGTATAGATCGTCTACAACTACTGAAGCAAGCTTGAGACTTGGTCAAATGATACTCTACATTACATCAACAACACTGATTAAAAGATATCCTAACATTGACCTCAACCATTTGACCTTCATACGAATACAAGTAAGACCAGAAGTCTCTGATGAGTCAGTAGCTCTACTGGTTTGGTCTAATACTAAAAAGAGAAAAGCAGCATGTGGACTTGAAACTTAGTAGCAATGGCAAGTCATCAATAAATAAGAATTATGATTCTTGGTTAAGTTAACTTGTGTACAAATTTTGTTTTATTCATACCAAAAATACAAGAGGGGTAATGTTGTAAACGAATTCCAGTATTATCCAATTTATAGTAAACATTTGCAACAGTGTTAATCTAAATCAAACTCGATAAGCAGAACTATGTATCTTAAGAGTGCATCTTCACTAGCCATGCTACTCTCCTCACAAACCCTTGGCCTATTGTGGTATTGAGTCTGATTTTTTTTCTCAAGTTGTGATTGAGTTTATTGATATTGACCAATCAGCAAGTGCTTTTGAAAATGATGATATCTCCGTTTGTGATATACATGTATGTGGACTGTATAATTTCGGGAATGAAAAACACAGATGAAGTATGATCCATAAAAGAACCTGCCATTCTATTAATAGCTATAGTGTCATTCAATTTTGAGCTGATGTGCACATAATGTGATCAGGAATCTATATTGCAGATATACATTTGCACCCTTAATAACAAATAAACATCCCTAGATACCTACTTGTTAATCATTCTTTAAATACTTTTATTTTTAAAAATGCTCTTTATTTCTGTCCATGATGCAAGCTGTGCATATGTGGTAAGATTTAAGATCATGTGACAAACAATCCCAACATGATAGCACTATGGGCCATGGGATTGCGAGGAGAGTCCTTGGCTAGCAAAGACGGTTAGAGTGGTCTTCAAAAACATAGTCATAATTATGTATCTTTGTATAGTTTAATTTTGTACCATGTCTTATTGAAATTGGACCAAAACTGTAGGGAGAGTAGCATTTTGAATATATTTCACAGATATTTCTGTTATTACTAACCATGGGAAAAGAATTCTTCGAAATCTAAAACGATTAAATAGAATTATGTATCTTTGTATAGTTTACTTGTGTACCAAGTCTTATCAAATTATACCAAAACTGTGGGAGGAGTAGTGTTTTGAAAAATTGTTTACAGACAGACGAGGGACACCTTATTAATGCATAAGCTCCTCTGGTCTCTGACCAGTAGAGCTATAACATTATTCGCCTTGTGCTTATCACCTCCTTAGTATATTAGCTTTAGACAAACGTAAAATAGTGTCAAGTGTGAACTTCCAGTGTTCCTCCCTTCTGAAGTTTGGGTCCAGACATGATTGCAAGAAACAAACAGCTTTTCTGATGGACAGATGGACAAAGTGATTCCTGTATACCCTCTCCCCAAACTTTTTTTGCAGGGTATAATAAATATACATCTCAAATTAAATCATAACTCAATAGAAAAAAAACAAACTATTTTCAAAATGTAAGATGCAGTTTATTTACTTTACACAGTTTAAATCCTTCAAATCAAGCTTGCAAAAATTCTTCTGTGGATAGATTCAAAATTCAAAGCAAAACAGATTTTAAAACAATCTGAAAAAGCCAAACATAAGTCCAAGAAAGGCAAATTTGGCAATGTTTTTTCTTTCCCACCTTAAATTGAAAACAATAATTTTAAGCTAAAAGAAAGACTGTTAAGAACGCACAGACAATCCAAAACAGTACTTTTTATGTTGATAAACATGCTTTGTTTACGGTACCAAGTAATTAAACATTGCATAAACATGTTACAGTGTAATCTTCACACTTCTTCAAACAAATTTGTGAAAGAGAATTTTTTTTTTTACATGTTTTACCATTTAACCCTATTACATCTTTTCAATAATATATTACTTGAAGCCACTTCAAATGACTAGATTCCTGCACTGACTGGACAATATGACTACCATGACAAAATAACCTTTGAATGAATAATATCCATTTGGGAAAAAAAACAATAACACACTCATGACCATTTAATCTGACCACAAACAATTGCAATGCTTCCTGCATTTTTCTAATGAAGCATGAAACTTCTTCACAAAAACTAAATACAATTTAATCACATTAACCAAAGGATTATGCAAGGTGTGTAACCTAATCACCATTTAAACTGCAATAAAAGTGAATTTCAGTTGTTGAACAAGAGGAAGTACTCTCACTATCCTGACCACATCATAAACAAAAAGCAAAAACTGCACTATTATGAGAAGAATTTTCTCTTGCAAACTTGGCACCCTATATATACATCATTTCTGCCATACTTGACATTTTCTTTGGAATATACACAAAATCATCAAAATAGCAGGCTAATTCATCCACAGTCATGTCATCTAACCTAGCCTCCTGTGAACAACTCCTCTCTAAATACTGGTCAGAACTTCTGCTTTTTACACTTTCAGAACCCACAGCTTTGGAAAAATACATAGGGTCAGTTTTAGACCTAAAGTGGTGTTTATGGTTGGAAGATTTCAATCTCTTATGAAGACTGGCATTTTCTAAATCTTTTCCTTTTTCGCTAAAGCCCTGATTTAAGGAAGAAAAATTTTCAAGATTGGTTTTACACCCTGCCCCAAAAAGAAAGGTACTGTTTGTAGGACTGTCCAAAGCACCTGTCACTGGCAACTTAGTTCTCTCCACATGTAAAGGAATTTTCTCACTATGCCTTCCTTTTTTCACTAACTTTAATCGTGCTGATCTTATAATTTGCTTTCTATCCTTCTCTGAGTGATGGAGTTTTAGTCTAGCTTCCCTTATGTATTTACGTGGGGGCGGTGTCAAACTGGTAACTTGGGCATAATTGTATTTCTTCTCTGTCTCTGCTTGAGATCTTTGCTTTGAACACATGCACTGCTCATTTTCACACTTTTCATGATTTAAAGATATTTTCTGCATAGAAAATATGACCTCTTGAGGATAAGGTTCCATTCTCTTGGGAATTTTCTTTTTGTGTTTAATACTATTTTGAACTTTAGCACCTTCTTTTTCCTCTTCAGAAGTGGAACCAATCCTGAAACATTAAGAATTTGTAAAAGGAATGCTGATTGTTCACTTTTATTTGAGAATTGGCAAGATATATCTTCTTAAACAATATTTTTCTTGTTGCACCCCCCCCCAAAAGGAATGCTACATACATGTAATGTCTAAACAAATTAAAATCAGGTGTCTCTATGCTTTAGAACAATTCCTTTAAGTTTTTATTGGTTCATTAGTTTCATATGTTTTCATGATATTTAAAAATTCTTTTTTAATTCATCTCCCTTTTCCTTATTTGGTAAGTAATATTCTCCTTCTAATTAAAAACATGAAATTTCAACTTTATCCAAGAAAAAAGTTGAGGTGCTCAGGCTTGGGTGAAATAAGTGTGGCTGGGTTACATAACATTACTTTTTTTCATTTTTGATTTTTAATCTACCAGGTAAAAAATATGAAAAAAAAAAGGACAGATGGCTGGGTTTCATTTTGTAGCCTTTCCATGCAATATCTTTATCAGATACTCAGTTTTATACAATTTGCTAAAAATTATCATTTTGTTATAGTAAGTATTACACAAATCAGTTATTAACCCTTTTAAAAATTTATTTTCTATGATACTAATGCATACATATTTGCCCTGAGATTTTGTTTACTGAGACCAATTTTCCTTCTTTTTTTTCCTTCAACCAAAACAGCAAAAATAAAGGATTGGAACAATTTTAATAGGGTAGGCAGGCATGAGAATCTAAAATTAATCTTAATATGTTGACTTAAAATGTGAAAAATGTCAGCAAGTTATTGCAGTGACAGATTTCTCTCCAAGATTTTTATGAATCTTCAAGTATATTATTACAATTATCTAACAAAAACTACATACACAGTTGTCCAAAAGGCATCTAATTTATTCCTGTCACTTCCCCCTGTAAGTGTCAGATCCTGCTCATACCTATAAAAGAATAAAGAATACTGCTTGTCAATTTTCTCAATATGGTTTTTGAAAAAGGTGATCCCTGATAAAAATTACAAAATACAAAAATTATCTGTCTTTATTTTAAAATCAAACTAAATAAATGATATATTCTAACAGTAAGCTGTTTACTAAAAACTATGACTATCTATTGAAAATAATGAAAATATAGTGCAAGAGTTTGAAATACTAGCATGGCACTTTTTTCTTGTTTCTCTCACAACTGTACAGATTGATGTGAAAGTCTCTAGAAAGTTATCTCAATATAAACTTTAATTATGTTGGGAAAAAAACTTATAAGATGAAAAAAAAAAGCAAGATACTTGTGTGTTGTCCTTTGATTTGATAGAAATTATTAAACATACAGCCACCCCCCTTCAAATGCGATAAAAAATAATGCCCAATACATCTTTAATAGTTTATAGTTAAGTATCATGATTAAAACAAAAAACATATATACTGAAAGGAAAAAAAATGCAGGGTAAACTTTTGAAGTGAATTAAAGCTATTTTTTCGAAGGTATTTTCCAGTATATTGTTATCTATCATCTTAAATCTCAATATGTTACAAAAATCTCAAGTTACAAAAATCTCATTTGATTTTGACTGATAATTCATAAGTTATTGAAAATCATATGATGGCATTCTCCCCCCCCCCCCCCCCCCCCAAAAAAAAGGAAAACAAAAATTCTCAGTATCTCCCTTGCGCGTCTATCACAACCTTGATTCTCCTGTGCAAGAAGTTCATCAGAGCTTTTTTCTTTCTCATACGGACATTAATTCTACCCTTCTGACAAGGCATCCCCTTGTTGGATGAGATTAGCTGAGCCTACTGACGCCTTTAAACCCTAGCATCCAGTTAGTCCCACAGATTTTCAATTGGAAAAAAGATAGAATTTACATATGCCAGTTGATTTGGTAAATGTGAATATTTATGAGAAAGTCTTGACAAACTGATAACATTTTCCTGAGGGTGAACATGCTAAATAAATAGGCTTACAATGCACATGTGCGTGTGAGAGTATCACCGAAGTAAAGTTGTCAAGCTCACAGATTAAAAAAAAGAGTAATCGATTTCTTTCAGTTTTAGAGTGAATGTAATGCTTATGATTGCTTACTGTATTAGAATCGGTTTCAGTGGTAATACAGTGGTGATTACACAGGTGGCAGGATGAAAAACCTTAATTTTAAATGACGTTGTTATGCGCCAACGTCAGTGTCACGGTCGGTTGAAAACCATTCCTGTTCCTCTTTGACAAGGGAGAAAATGTTTCATGGTGGAAAATGAATAAATAAACTGCATAGCAACATGTCGCCTTTTCCTTCACATATGCAATTCAATTACTAGACCCCATGGGACTTCCTTCAACGATACCATGATTACAAGAAATTCATATTGACTGTATTTAAAATACACTGTAGTGAAAAACAATTTGTATGCCCAAGTGCATCAAGTAGTACTACAAAATCTGTTAACAAACCTGATATCATTAACATTTGGATGTTTTTCACCACTTTTCCTATGTGACATCATACATTTCACGGTTGAGTAATTTTGAACACTAATTTTAGTGCACAGTAACCAAGATACACTTCTGACCAATTTTCAGCCACTAAGTCAAAAATATTTCGCATATTAAGTTACCCAGTGTTTCTTTTTCCTTTCAGTATATAAATAAACTGTGATGAAGTGATTGATGCACTGAAAATGTCAATCTAACTTACCTTTCTAGAAAATCGGTCTGCTCTTGTCTCACTTGTAAATTGCCAAATGCTGATGTTAACTGTATTTTTGTGTCTTCATTATCACCCATTCTGTTTTAAGTCATTTGAGAGAAAGAATATAAAAACATATAACAGGCATTTTGATATAAATTTATATATAAAAATCATGTTATGATACAACTATATGCACGAACCAATTTTTTTCACTTATGTTTTAAATTATGTGTGCTTTCCTTATCAGTAAAATTAAGCCCCCTTCCTAAAATTTCAAGAATATTAAAAAAATTGTAACTAAAAATTATCCCTTCAGAAAAGGTTTGAAATTTGTATAGGAATTTGTATGAATATCAATACCCTAAATCCTAAAACACTGATCATTAAAAATGAATTAGATTATCAATACTTTCACTTGTTGGATTGTTCATAATCATTAAATGGGAATATCAAAGATCATCATTTCCACTTGCTAACTTTCTAGATTAAAGAAATTCTCAAACTATTAGAACATCAATTTAAAATGTAAACCAATTTTGTAAAATACATGCACTATAAAAGAATATTTTGAAATTAGCCATCATTTTACTTATTAAATAATAAATATTGAAACTTTCAATTAACTTAACTTCAATGAAAATATCAATTAATGAGTATAATGTTATTGTTCAAATATGTGAGGTAATAGTGGTGCACACACCTCCATTCTACAAATTCAGAAGTTTCAAAAGCCATTAATTTCAAAAGTTTAGAGAATTATGCTTCAAGATATAAATTTGGAATATTTACTAAAAGTACTACGTATTAGGAATATATATAAGGCTTGAAATGCAAATTTCTACATCAACATTTTAGGGATGCAACTTTATACCAATATATCATTACTACTAGAATACACAAAAAAATTTGTACAGTATACACAGTCTGTGTATCATGATATGAAACATTTAAAGCAATTTGTTTTTAAGCCATTCCAAGTTTTTCTTCTTTTTTTTTCTCTGTTCAGCGTCCACCTATCTTTCATAAACCTACTTACCTATTTGCAAAAAAACACACAAACCAAAAAATAAAACACAGACTTTATAGTCATAAAAATGATGTCATTCAAATGATTTCATTATTTTATTTATTTCATAGGAAGATCTATTTTTTAGCAAAATCAAGGTATTAATTTTTTCTTAAAATAACCTAATATAGCATATTGTAGACAGATATTCAGAGAAATTTACACAATTCAAAGATTTCGATCGCAATAATCAATTTCAGGACTCCTGATTTTGTTTGTTAAATTTTTCTAATATTTGAATTGGATGGCAAAAACCAAGGCACATGTGGACACTAAACATAGAAAAAAAAAAACTTGGATTGGCCTTAATTTAATTTTTTTTTTAAATATTAATTTAACCTGTTTTTGTTGTTTTTTGGAGCGAAATCAAATGTTACATAATGTTTTGTGAACTTGATGAAATAGTCTACAACTTTTATCCTTTCACACAGATATTTTTTAAAATATCTATATATCTATTTCAGATTCTTAATTTGTGTTAATTATTGTATATTTTTATATTTATGTTCAAGCGCTTAAGAGTAATTTTAATTATATTTAGCGCTATACAAATTTTATAATAATAATAATAATAATAATAATAGAGAATTTCTCTGAGAAACAAATTATAATAAAAATATGAAAGATGAAATACCCAGTTTATCATATCATGATATATGCTATATAGTTGTACTGATACATCCCTACAACATATATAAGGTGTGAAACACAAATGTTAATTACGTTTACACTGAACCAAAAAAAGAAGGATAAAAAAAATGGGGTGACATATATCTTACTTCTGCTTCAACAGTAACTGCAGGATGTTTAAGACAGTTATAAGCTTTCCAGGGTTCGAAATTCACTATATACAACTCGCAAAACGCGAGTTAGAATTCCCAAATTGCAAGTTAAAAATTAGGTAACTCGCAAAAACTTGCGAGTAGATTTTTTTGCATTGAAACTGTAGCAAAATTATATAATATGACAGAACACAACGCTTTTGATTTAAATCAGTAATTTAAATAAAAGTCACACTGTAGTTGTATTTTGTGTATTGTACAGTAGTTACTTTTTCCTTAAGTTACATGTATTTAATTTATATAAATTTAACTTTATACGAAAATTGCGAGTAGTCTTATAAAATTGCGAGTTCACTTTCTTGGTACTCGCAATTATTTGCGAGTTGTAATTTTAGGGAGTTTCTAACCCTGACTTTCAGTGGAACCTACGGTGTTGGAATTGTTGCATCACAAGTGATAAAAATTTTATTTCCCACATTTGTGTAGGATTTTATCTAGTTATATATATAACGACTGAAAGTTGTTTTGCAGTTATATTCCTTAACATCGTCCAAACTGAAAGTGAAACAAGGTATTATCACACCTGAGACTTCTTGGATATAGAATTAATGACCCCCCCCCCCCACCCCCTTTACAACTATTCTTTGTATCAGTCAATGGTAAAGTAATCTCGCCCCATTTGAGGCAATGTTACCCTTCACTTTCAGTTGTCGTTAAAATGCTGTTGTAAGTGGGTCTACGTAAGAGTTTGAGTGATATTATGGAGAAACAGGAAGTTCAGAAAGTTATGTTTCCGACAGTGACATAACTCGAAACAATTTCATAAAATCGGGACGTTATTTCGCGCTTATTTACTTTCCATCTATAGTATCTCACCTAACGAATCCCAATATATCTCCAATGAGATAACCCACACTTTTCTGAACTGTTCAAAAAATGGTTTTCACATTGCGTACTTTCTAACAACAACAAACCGACGCCATATTGTACATTTTTCCAGTGTAATAGTCACGTGACAAGAAATATTCAAACATAAAGAGAATGATTTTTAAAAAACTGAAAATTTTAATATCTATTAGAGGTTGCAATTTGCACATTAATCTTTTTTTAATTGAAATAAAAACCATATTTTTGTTAATTTTACAAGCTACACACATTTTGTGACGTAGTACTCATTAGACGTCAGCATGAGCCCGTGATACGTGTATGGAAAGGTGGCTAAAGCTGTTGTAAAATTGTTGACCATATTTTCTACAATTTTATGTCATTTATAGAATAACACGTGGTCAACATTATGGAACTGACAGAGGTGGTTTCTCCGCATGTTGCTGTGCCAGTAGTTGGAGTTTTACTTTGTGCATTTCTTGTTTTTGCGTTTGGGTTTAAAACACCTGGTCAACCACCAAGCTTCAATTTTGAAGAAGATAACAAACGAAAAAGATCAAAGAAATCAAAGGTTAAATTTCTTAAGTTTTAAATGCATAATAACTTTATCATCAGGTGTTATTTCATGAATCACATAAACATAAGTGCAGAACATTTTTTAAGTGCACACTCAGATTGAATGATAACTTCTATCAGCTGATTAAGTGCATTTCAAATTGCCATTGAAAGTCATTAGGATTTGATTCATAATTACTTGAAAAATTCCAATTGTTATTTTTAGGCCAAAGATGTGCAACAGTACACTGCTTTTGTGTTAATTGTGCTTTATGCCAATGCCTGTTAAGAAAATAATTTTAGTGACTTATTTAAAAAAAATGAAATAAAGAGAATAGTTTCTGTCATTGAATTATTATTATCAATTTAATTTTTGTGTATGCTACTTGATCTTTGTAATAGACTTCTGTCATGATGGAGAGGAAATGTGACTGACTGAGTCATACATGTAAAATGGTTGAACACACTTTTGAAATATATATAATATTATGTTTAATCTCCTTAACTTATATCACTGACATGTAAAATGTCTGCTTAGCCATTCATATTAAATATGTATTATCATATACCTGATTGCAACTTTTAATTTTACTTTTTAGTCTCCTAAAAGTCAAAGTAATGGACATGTTGTAGCAGTAAATGAGGAAACTGAAAGCAAAGCAAATGCCAAACAACCACCACAGTCAAAAAATGTTGCAAAATCTCCTAAATCAGCTGCCAAAAAATCCACTGAGCAGAATAAGAAGGTAATTAATTTCACCTTTTTTTTATTATTATTATTATTATATCAAGTGAAATTGTCCATAATTTTGCCTTTTTCTGACTTAATAAGGTAATGTTAAAATTAGTAAGTTAAAATTAATAAAGTTAATAATGTTAAAATCTATGCTTTAATTAAAAGGTTGGAAAATACTTTCAAGGAAATTTTTGTTAATTTTAAGGTACACTATAATATTTAAAGGATATTTACTTGCATGTTACTATAAGTATTATGGTAAACTATAAAAAGTCTTTGGTAACAGGTGTAAGTGATTCATGTCAAAAGAATGAAATGTTTTTCGCTATTGTTTTAGGTCAAGAAAGCTGTGAAAGAAGTTGAAGAGTCTAAGCCTATACCCTCTGCACCTGTCTCTGAAGATGATGGAGGTAGCTGGTTTTCAATGTGATGAATGCTTATTAGATGAAATGTCTTCACACTGTCCTATACCATCATAAATCACATATAACCTTGATCTATGCCCTTGAATCAGATTAACAAATTTTAGCTCACCTGAGCCAAAGGCTCAAGTGAGCTTTTCTGATTGAAATTTGTCTGTTGTCTGTCATTGTCGTAAACTTTTCACATTTTCGTCTTCTTCTGAAGAACCACAGGGCCAGTTTCAACCAAACTTGTCATAAAGTATTCTTGGGTAAATGGGATTCATGAAGGGCCTTGCCTGCTTCCAAGGGGAGATAATTACCAATTTGGGAAAAATTTATGGCATCATTTAAAAATCTTCTCAGGAACCACCGTGCTAGAAAATCTGAAACTCATGTGGAATCATCCTTAGATAGTATAGATTTAAACTCTTCAGATCATGAACCCCAGGGGTAGGGTGGGACCACAATGGGCAATCAAAGTTTTACATAGGAATATGTAGTGAAAATCTTTGAAAATCTTCTCAAGAACAGCAAAGCCATGAATAGTCATATTTATATGGAAGCCTCATCAGGTAGTGTAGATTCAATTTTGTTCAAATCATGATCCCAGGGGTAGGGTGGGATCACAATGGGTGATCAAAGTTTTACATAGGAATAGATAGGGAAAATCTTAAAAAATCTTCTTCTCAAGAACAGCAAAGCCCTGAATAGTCATATTTATATGGAAGCATCCTTAGGTAGTGTAGAATCAAGTTTGTTCAAATCATGACCCCCGGGGATAGGTTGGGGCCACACTTTTAAACTTTTCAAGACTGAATTTTTTCCAAGCCAAGGTGCTTAGGTGAGTGTTGTGGCCCATGGGCCTCTTGTTTAGCTCTACTGATCAGAGACAAAATGAGCTTATGCCATAGTAAGGTGTCTGTTGTCTGTCCTATCTGTCTTTAAACAATTTTTCAAACTCTACTCCTCCAACAGTTTTGGTCTGATTTCACTAAGACTTGGTACAAAAGTACTATACTAAGGTACATTGTTTCGTTTATCAATTTTTTTTTATTTTGACATCATTGTTACACTATGGTTTTTAGTAACCATGGTGTAGCCATGGTTACTTAAAATAGAAATTTATTTGAAATTCTATTAAAAGGACATTTTAACTCATACAGCTTTGGTCTAATTTTAATAAGACTTGGTATACAAGTAGACTATACAACCATACATAATTCTGTGTATCAGTATTTGATTTCGAAAAAATGTTGTTGCCATGGTTACTAAAAGTAGAAATGTCTGAAATTCTTAAAAAATGGTAGGCTTCCTACAGTTTTGGTCCGATTTCAATAATACTTGGTACACAAGTAGAGTATACAAAGATACACAATTCTTTTTATCTGTATTTGATTTCAATTGTGTTGCCATGGTTAAAAAATATAAAGTATTGAAATTCTTTCAAAATGCTATTCTTTTTACAGTTTTTGTGAGATTTCAATGAGACTTGATACACAATTAGACTATACCAAGTTCAGTATATTGGTATCAGTTTTGAATTATGACAAAAGGTGTTGCCATGGTTACTAAAGCTAGAAATATCTGTAAATCCTCACCCTACAGTTTAAATCCAAAACTTGGCATGCAAGTAGCCTATACTTTCAGAAATAATTCTATTTATCTGTTTTTGATTGCAATAATTGATGTTACCAAGTGTTACTATAAATGGAAATTTTTGTAAATTCTTTTAAAACATTACTCCTCCTACAATTTTGATCGGCTTTCAATTAGACTTGGTACACAAGTATACTACGCTAATGTAACAGGACGACACTCAGTGACTATTACTGGAATATATATGTGGTATTTTTGAACCCCCAAAAAGTTTACTTTTGTAAACCAAAAAATTTAAATATTGCACAGTTGGACTCCAGTTAATAAGTAAAATAAGATTCAAATAACTTGGTGGTGATTATGGTTTATTCTGGCTTAACCTCTAATTAGCAAGCTAAATTAAATCTAACCAATGATAAAATTAATATAAAGAAAATTAAAAAAAAATTAATGGCTGCAGTCGTCTTAACCCTAAATTCCAAAAAATATAAAAACACTCTAATACATGTACATAGATGTACATAGATTGACCTGCATATGAACCTTATTTTAGATGTAAAATTAAATCATTTGCTTTTTTGCTAATTTTGTAACAGGAAAGCTTATCCAGAGAAGAACTTTTTCATCTTGAAATGTTTAGCATTTGGGTGACAAACAGATGTGTTATATCAATTTTGACCTATGTATGACTGTTACCTTTCAATTAATTTAAAAGAGAGATGCAAAATATTGTCTGATTACCGGTATTCTTCCCTGGACTGTTTAAGAAAACTTCAAATATCTTAACAATATTGTGATTTATTTGAGGGAAATTATAAAGGGGAGTTATAAAAATTTTACCTAGGAGGTAACCTTTCACAGTGGGGTTATAGAAGGTATTTTATTGATGCCTGTGTTTATAGGAGGATGGACAACTCAGGTGTCTAAGAAAGACAAAAAACAAAAGAAAACAATCATCGAGTCTGATGTGGAGGACAGAAATGTGGAGGAGAAGCCAGTGGAGGAAGCCATTGTGGAAGAGAAGAGTAAACCTGTGGAACAGAAGAAGAAAAACAAGAAGAAGAATCAGCAGGTCAGATATTTATAGGTGTATTTTAGTTTGATCTGTTTTTCTTCCTACAAAAATTGAAATCTGAAGTACTGCATTTTGATGGTACACTTTTTCATAATGAAGATGTTGGTAAGAAATAATGTAATACATATTTTATGCTTTTTTCACTTCACCTGAGTTTCTAAGGTTTTCCTTCATATGTTTCCATACATCACTTTATGTCATTTGTAAACTTTTGAACATTTTATATTGTAAACTGATGGCCCCAGGGTTCAGGCTCCAGGATGGGCCTAAAAAATCTTTGAAATGTCTTGCAGTCAAACTATGTGCTGTTTGTTGTGCAAAACAGTCAACAACAGTAGGAACTTTTATTATAAAAATTCTTTGTAATATTTTTTTTTTTTTTTTGATAGGAAAATGTGCCTGTTCAAGAAGAAACAGTCCCAGAAACTAAAGTTGAACCCAAGGTATACCAATTTTGAAGTTAAAAAAAGTTGTTTTTTTACATGTTTATTAGAATTTGGTAAAAAAAATCAGACAATGAAATTACTGTATGTATTTTTCCTTCTTAACAAGTCAGTATAAATTTTGAAGAAAAAAGTAATTTTTGACATGTATAATAGAAGTTGACAAAAAATCAGACAGTGAAATTACTGTATGTAGTTTTCCTTCTGAGCAAGTCAGTATAAATTATAAGATTAATATTTTTAAAAAACAATTTTTTGTCAATATGAATACTAAAAGATTTAAAATTTTGTAGGAGACAGTGATGGAAAGTAAAAAGGCCAAGAGTAAAAAGAAAGCTGAACCCAACAAAGATGTGGTGAAGAAAAATGAACCGGCCAAACCAAAACCTGAACCGGAGAAAAAAAGTGAAGAAAAAGTCAAACAAATTCAGGAGAGTGCACCAGAAGAAAAAAGCAAAACATCACCCAAAAAGAAGAAGGGAGCTTCTCCTACAGAGGTAAAATACTACACATATATACATGTATACATAAAAGACAATTTCTTAATACCAGATCTTGCACTGAACATGGTTTCAATTATTGACATGTGTTTCTATTTGGAATAATTCACACAAGATTTGCTCTTCTGTAGAATACATGTTCATTTCATAGTTTTATGTTTATTAAATTCAAGCAAATAATTGTTTTGAATTTGATAAATTTTATATATTTTTATTCCTAAAATGTTAACAGAAAAAAGTGGAAGTAAGCAAGCCAGAGCCAGTCAAAGAGGCAAAGAAATCAACTACAGCAACCCCTGGAAAGTCAGCTGGGGAACAGGAAAAATCAAATGCCAAGTCGGAAGCTTCTTCAGGCCCCAAAACTGCCGAAGCAGCCCCAGAGGTGAAGACTGAGGCAGTGACTGAATCAAAAAAAAGCAAAGCAGAGCCACAGCAGGGTATGTTGTCTGACAGGGTATAGTAGGTTCTTTTGTACGCAGTATGTAAGAATGTAAGAATGTAATTTGTTTGGACAGTCTAGAGTGGTTATACAATGGAGACAGTATGTTTTTACATTACAATCCATTGACGTAGATACTTGTATTATAATTGTTTATTATTCTTTAAGTTTTAACTTATTTTATTAAATAAATTTGATAAGGATTCAGAAACAAGCAGAGCCTACATATACCCTCTCCTTGTCAGGACAAAAAGAGTCAGCCCAGGGAGGGATCAACATTAACTATAAAACGGAAGTGCCTTAATGTTGAGCCCTGCTAAGAGTGATACTTGTACATGAAATAAAGTATACTGAGATTCACAATCAAGCACAACTCATGAGTATATAAGAGAGAAAAATATAGCTATGATGACCACAAAATTATTAGGGCCCCGCAAGGATTTGCGGGTGCCCTATAGTAATCACTCTGTCTGTCTGTCTGTCCGTCCGTCCGTCCGTCCGTCCGTCTGTCTGTCTGTCCGTCTGTCATTCTTCCGTCCACAAATTTTCTGTTTTTTTCTAATAACTTTTTTTGTAGTTGACCAATTAAGTTCAAATTTGGTATGTTGGTTGAAGAGGCAGTAAGACATATTTTGATGCTAAGTTTGGTTCTCTATGTCATCTAGTTTGGAGCTGGGGTGGTGGGGTAGATTCCTTAACTTTACATTAGAATGAATGCCAGGGCAAAGAGAGATAACTGCTGAGAATGTTCCTATTGTAAAGTATGAAAGCTGCAACTAGTCCCATGGGATTAATTAGCTTTCCTCTAGAAGAAAATCCAAAGCATTATCTGTTTCTGTCAAATTGAGATTAATTAACACCTCTGTCTGCAAATGAAGTTTTTTTTTGAAGTTAAGGTCAATTCTGAATGATGTTTACATTCTCTGAAATGTGGATTTAAATAATGTTCATACTTTGGTAAAATACACAATGAGTTATGATTTTATTGAATTCTAAAGACAAGATATACATCAAGATATTTTTTTTTTATTATTTATTTATTCTTTTTTTTTTTTTTTTTTTTTTTTTGCTGCCTTATGTAAATTCTACATGTACTATTAATTTTAACAGGTAGTCCGATAATGAACTCATTCTATCATTACTATCATTACTGAAAAAGTTCTTATTGTGAACTTGGAAGAAAAGGATGAGAGAGCAGTACAATTAATCCCCTGGGATTACTTATCTTGTCTGGGGCAGAAAATTTTCCAAGCTTATCTTTATTTGTCACTTTAAGATAAATTAACCTTTGTCTGCAACTGATGTTTGTTTTGAAGTTAAGGTCAAGCCTGGGTGATATTTGCTTTCACTGAAGGCTGGCATTTTATAAAACACATGCTTTATTCTTGTTTAAATATACATTTAACTGAGTTATTATAGATATGTTTTTTACTGCCTTATGTAAATACAGGGATACTCTTTACAGGTTGTTGGATATTTAGGAATTATCTTGAAATTTTATAAAAACAGTTGTTATTGCATATTCTTCTTCATATATTTTTTAATTTTTGTAATCAATTAAAATTCTCATTCTGTAAGCTGCACCCTTATATTTCTACCCCTCGGCGGGGCCCTTACTGACTGGTCAGTTTTCTAGTTTATTTTATACCTGTTCTTTTAATTTGGTTGTAGCTGTGAAAACTGAGGCCAGTGGTGCTGAAAATGGAGAATCCGCTGTCTCATTTGATGAAGTGGGAGGTAAGTGTGTGCTAAAGGACATCAAATGAGCACAGATAGAAAAAGTATCACTTGAAGTCCCTTATTTTATTATAGTCAGTCTATCATTACCTTGACCTTCCTAATGACCTATGACTTTACTATTTATTGTGTATAAAACTCACTTTAAAAGAAACAATATAAGATATTTTCATAACAATTTTTACCTTAATAAAATATTTCTTTTGCATTACTAAAAAACGCTCCGCAGGGCATTCATGTCATATGGATATATTTCTAGTTAGGATTTGTGTTTATTTTTATCTGATTTTTTTAGATTCCTGGGTTGAAGCAAAGCCAAAGAGCAAGAAGAAAAAAGCCAGGCGGGATAACTAGCCAATGCTATTTTGTTTTGTTGTTGTTGCTATATACTGCAATAAAAGGTGCTGGATCCTTGTTAACAAGGCATTGTGACCTTTGTGACCTTTACACACATTGACGAAGGCCTGGTTGTGGTGGTAGATTAGAAGCAAGTCTGAGGCATGCACACACATCATGATCATCAAAGGCAAAGGCACAGCATACACTTCCATGAAAGAAATTGCCAATGGGGTTTTAAACAGATTGTAAATGAACTTACAAGGGCAAGATGTTTGGGATGTTTCTTTTCGTTACCTCTGTTTTTTTTTTCAAACACATTTGTACTAGTCGAAGAAATAAGTGCTTATTTATGAAAAAAAAAAAAAAGAAAATGAATTTGAAGAGAATATTTTTTTTCATTTCTTGGATTTTATTTCCAAACACACACAAAAAACAGTGGCATATTGAATCTTGATACATGACCTGGTATAGTTTTGCTCAATGTAACTGATTTTTTTTTTCAAATGAAATGTATTATTTGTTAATAATAATTTTCTTTCTCATTATGTAGATTTTAAAACTGTGTGTAGGCATTGGGGTCTTATTGTTATGTTTTGTTTTTCTCTTTCTGTACAAATTAATTCAATTCTAGTCACCATTTAGAAAAAAAATCTCAGATGGTGGAGCTATGGATAAATGTTGAATGTATTACCTCACCATTGCTCTGATTATTGTTGATAGAATAAGCTGAAGATTGGAGGGGGGTGGGGAATTAGCTAAAGGAATAATTTGATCTTTAGTGGACCAAGAATAACATTTGTATGACATGTGGATTTGCTTATTGTTGATGTTAAATTTAGTTTTTCACTCAAAATATACATGTAGATCATATAAATAAGAAAAATATATTTTTTTATGATTAGATGCAGTGCTAAAATTTTGATGGACAGATGACATATAGAGTATGTGTACATAAATAGAACTTTGAACATACACAAAAACCACTTGATCCCAAGTTATAACTTTTTATAGGCTTGTATTATTGTTCTAAGGTTGTCTCATAGGGTCTATTAAATGAAATTATGATAAATTGTCATTTGTATGAGTGTTTGCTATGTTATTGTTTTGGATAAATATTGTATAGGTGATGTACAGTATCAGGAACAGTTTGGTATCTGGTACTCTACATAAATTTCCTGTGATATATAATGTGTAATACTATGAGAAGTGGGAGACAGGATTTATAAATATAGTCAATTTAGGATAAATTCATCAAAGTTATGTTTTAATTGATGCAGTTACTATCTGCTCTATCCGAATATTGAGGAGGCAGTAAAGTGTTGATGTAGGAGATCTCCACTATGTCTCCAGAATGTAATTATATCAAAAAGACATACTAAATTTATTGAGTACATTCCAGATTTTTCTTTGGCAGCTTTACTTTAATAGTGCATTAAGAAATATTGAAAGTTTATTTTTATCTCCTTGGATGCGTTTCTTTTTACATAGATAAATTTACTGTACAATTCTTTTTAAAGGAAAAACAAAGACGGTATGATAATGATTAGGTTTGTCTTCCAGAGTCTGAATTTAAAAGACGATTCTGTCACTATGTAGACATCTTGCCACTTATGAAATTGTGCAGAAAGCCAAATTTAGATTTTTTTTACATCCTCATTGCAGAACCAAGTCGCAGTTTGTGTAATTAAGTTTTTTGATTCCTGATAATATTCAAGATTTTCATATATTTAAGTGCCAAAACATTGGAGGACGCCATTAATGAATTCTCGTGAGAAATTTTGCTTGTTGAAAGTTTGATGTATTAAAACTATTTAGTTGATATAAAAAAAAATATGTTGAATATGATATGTATTTTTGGTATTAAAAATATTATTTATTGATTATGTGTAAATTAATATATGTGTGCAAATTGCATGAGTAAAACTACAGCAGTGTTATCAGTGGCATGAAAGTGCTGTTCATTAGTATATATATATATATATATTGAAATGTATTTATGCTTGATCATTTTCTTTCTGTAGTAGTACATGTATCTATAGTTGTTTCTTATGTGAGGTATTTATCAGCGCATCAGTTGTGTCTCTTTAAACAAATTCAAGGGTGCGTTCAAGAGCATAGCTGCTACATAGCCTCTATGTAAAGCTACAATCTTAAATGTTAAGCTAGCCTAACTGCCACATAAGGAGAGCTAGCATAAATATTTGATGCTAAGTACCAAATCCAAGATGATCTCCATAGTTACCACTTGCACAACACAAAATTTTAACAAAAAGGGGGGTTATTTTCTACATCTTAGCAAATTTAATGTAAATTTACATGTGTACATATTTTTGCTTTAAATAAACTTTTTGTTCCAAAAATAAGTTTTTACTGATATATTTTTATCCAAAATGTAACATTTCACAGCTAGGCTAGCTGTGCGTTCAATAGATATCTACCACCTAGCTGCTAGGTTAGCTGCTACAATCTTGAACGCAGTCCAGGTACATTTCTGTGTTATATTTTATTGAACTGAAATGAACCTAAATTGAGATATGCCAGTATCTAGATGTTGACAGTTGAAGAAATCAATGAAGAAAAAGGTCTAAGTTGGATGTATATGTTTATATGAAAGGGAACACATACATGATGAGTTGTGTATGTTCTGGTTATGGGATTTTATGTAATATTAGGTATTGTGAATAATAATTGCCATTTTCATGCATATTAATGCACTGTATTTTCATAGAAATGATATAAGAGAGAGCATGAATCATTTAATGGTAGGATGAGTAGTGAAAAACAGATTTTGTGATTGAAAGGAAATGGGTAGGAATTTGGTCAGCAAAGTCAGAGAATTGTTCAGTCAAGTAAAACATGTATATTAACTTTTTTCTTAAATCATACATACTTTGTAGGTTTGTTGAAATGGTGGATGTGCTGGCAAAGAAATAGGGGGGTAGTAGTTAATTTTAACTTTGTTAAGTAAAGGAATTCCTTTACCTTTGTCAGTAGTTCCTTTTTGTGTCTACATTTTTAATTGTCATTTGAGTGTGAATTGTTATAAACATTTTAATGAAAAAGGGAAAATTACCAGAATTTTTTTTTCACCCTTATTTGCCCATAAGTTGTGCAATGTTTTATTGATATGACATCCACAAGTAGCTAAGGATTGTTATACACAGATTAGTCCTGATTTGCTGTGTAAAAGAGATTTGATGAGTGTATGTTAACAGGAATGATTTGTGACAAATGTACATTTTAATGATATGGTGCATATGATTACACAAATGACCAATCAGAAATCAGTATACAGGGTATGTTACATCTTATCTCCTCTCAGATCTGTCTGAAAGATTTATTTTATGTGGCATTAGTGAACCATTCCAAGATGTAGTGCATATACTTGTATACATATATATTTTTGACATTATAGTCTTGTTTTTGAAGTAATGTGAGCTAAACAATAGTATTTTGTGATGCCATGCTTTCAGTTAGTGTGAAGGATTTGCTGATTAGTTTTGAAAAAAGGAATATGTTTTATAATCATTTAGATGTTAATCTGTTTGAGAGGGAGAGAATGTAATTTGACCCGTATCAGGTTCACTTAGGTTGTGTTCATTATAGAAAAAGAAAATTACAAGAATAAATTAAAATTGATCATATATACTCCTACTGTGTGTTTTTATGATTTTAGAAATGTGATTTGTGTACTTATGCAACAGGAGAGGAAAAAATGCAATGGACCAGACCGGGATTCAAAACCCGTGCCCCCTGAATCTCCAGTTAGGTGCTCTACCAACCGAGCTATCTGGCCACTGGCCATCAAACCTGTCTGACCAAAACATTCCTCCCTCCTTAAAAGTCTTTGGTCCCCAAAGACACCAACCCAGGCTCTTTCCTGGCAGGTCTTTCACCTGTCACTTCCAGGGCATGGCACGGCACCAAATGTAGCAGGAAAGGAGAAAATGTATGGCTGGGGTCGTGGATATCAGCCTGGGTAGCTCAGTCAGTAGAACACTTGACTAGTGATGCAGGGGTCACGGGTTTGATTCCCGGTCCAGCCATACATTTTCTCCTTTCCTGTTACACTTACCAGTTCCACTTCTGGGTTCCATTAAATGTTCTACCAAGCCTGTTTCTTTACTACACTCTGAAAAATCAACAGCAGTGAAGGAGAAACTTAATGAGTACTGTACAACAATATATTCGAGAAGTGGTGTAAATCAAATGTGGATCCTTAAAAATTCCAAGGAACTTGTAGAAAATTTGAAATCGCAGAATTTTACCAAAATCAATAACGTCAAAATGTACGACTTTTCAACACTTTATACAACCATTCCCCATGATAAATTAAAGTCCAGGTTCTTTGACATCATTGACATCTGCTTTTTTCAATAAAAATGGAACTCGTAAATTTATTTACCTTATCATTGGTCATTTGCAACATTATTTTGTTAAAGCACATTCTGATTGAACACACAAGTACTCTGAAGCTGACATTAAAAAGATGTGTTTAGTTTCTGATTGACAATATCTATGTAGTTCTTCCAACAATCTGTCGAAATTCCCAGCCATGACTTTTCATACCATTCAGGCTCAGTGTTTTAAACATGTTGGAGAGATTTAAGAAGTTGCCAAAGTAGTTCTGTGTGATCAGTTTGGAAGATAATAGTATGATTCAATAGGAATCGGTAAATATAAGGCTCTGGATTTGAAATTGAGGTGAGCATATGATCTAGAAAAAAAAAATTATGTTATAATACATGTATTGCTTTTAACTATTTCAAAGATATTCATTTCCGGTGCCATTCTCTTCAGATAAAAAGGCTCAGTCATTCATCATATGACTATTATTATACCCCTGCTTGAAATGCAGCCAACTCTTCCTAAAACACTTATTCAGAAGAAAATTTAATGAGACTTTCACAGAATCTTTATCACATAGTGCCTTTGTGACCTCTTATTTTACATTTTGATGAGAGACATATTTTGGGTTTCCCATCGCAAAACATGGACACTGCCATTTCTTCTATATTCAGGGTGCCGATATCTATATCTGCAACTCCTCCTATACCACTGAATAAAATTTAATGAGACTCTCCCAGAATCTTATTACATAGAGCCATTGTGCATCTCCTATTAAACTTTTGATTGGACACGTATATTATGGGAGCAGGTGTATCATTTTGTGAGCTCATTGCTCACAGCACCTCCAGTATATAATTACAGGAACTACCAGTATCACACACTACAAGCTTTAGCACAATATATTAAAAATGCTAATCTCAATGGAGTTCCTCCGCTGTTATTCAATTACATGTAGCTCTAACATATGCACTCAAATAGTAAAAATCACAGTCAATCATATGTCAAGTTTTATGAAAATTGCAAATCTGAGGTTTGTTGTATTTTGCAAGCAAAACAATGCCAAATGAAAATAGATCAAATACAGAAATCATTGCATTTATCTGCATAGGCTGTAAGATGCTGGGGAAAGAACATTTATCATTAACTGAAATAATGCCAACTTGTTCATTTTGTTTTAACTTTTAGAGGGGTCAGATAATTTATTTGAAAAAATAAAAGAAATATGGTGCATATCTGATAAACTATTTAGAAAGTGACCATGCAGCATGGTGACATATCACATGGTGATGGATCAACAATCTTAATTTTTAAACGTTTAATCTGTTAAAGATCAAGCATATCATGACGTGCTGTCGACAATTTGAGAGTAATGTGTAACATGTTTCTATAAAACACGTTTATAGCACCTGTGCGATCAATTTCAAGGGAGACAATTCCCTAACACGATTTTTTTTAGTACTTTCAGTACTTTGATGTTTTTCACATTTAGGTTTAAAATGTTATTTATTGATTAAAAAGAAAAAATAATAATAATAACACTCACTGATAATATGGCATAATATTTGTAAATTGTTTCTTGTAAATTCATTATTTATTACATTTATTAATATTGTGAGCAAATATTTACGATAAACATAAACACGCCCACTTTTCGGCAATTGCATGTGTTATTCAACTTGAAAGTTGGATCCGTTTTCAATGACCCATTTGTTTCCCTGCTTACACAGACGATGGGTCTCCGTGTATCAAAGTTAAAGAAAGCCATTGTAGATGACCATCTTCTCCTAATGAATATTTTGACGACTGGTGGTTTGCTAGCTATGGGAGATGTGCTGACACAGACTATGGAGATTAGTATGGATAAGGAGAATAAACAGAAATTCAGTTGGTATCGAACAGGCATGTGTTAAATTAATCAATTCTTCATTATCTGGGTCATGAATGCCAAAATATGTATTTCCAATTTCCGAATTTACTAAGGTCATTGAAAAAGTTGTTGATCATTGTTGTAACTTTAACTATAAAAGTTATGATCAGATTACAATTATTACATCATATATATTTTTCAATAGGTTACAACTGAAGTGTTGTAAAGGTATTCACTGAAAAAGTTGTTGATCATTGTTGTAACTTTAACTATAAAAGTTATGATCAGATTACAATTATTACATCATATATATTTTTCAATAGGTTACAACTGAAGTGTTGTAATAGGTTACAACTGAAGTATTGATTCTTTACCAATAAAATATCCATATATACATGTACATGTTTACCAAATTCCACATTCCCCCTTACTCTAAATTACTTATAATAACAAGCTTTTGACTTTAATTGTGTAAGGGTAGATATAATGTAATTTGCATGATGAAATAAATTTAAATGTGTACATTTTTTTGACTATAAGACTTTGAGGTATGAGTGTACATGATTTTTAGAAGAATTTTATTAATTAAGACTTTAAAGAAGATGTATCTGTAGTGGTTTGGGCTATGTGATCCTTAGATATTGGCCTGGGTAGCTCAATGGTTAGATCATCTGTCTAGTGATCCAGGAGTTCCGCCAGGGATTAATCTAGGTTTTTGGGGAAACTACCCTTTCTGAAGAAATTGGGAAAATCAGTCGGGGTCTGGGGGCTGCACCAGGCCCCCAGTGGGTGCATTTTTATGACTATTTAGAGTTGAAAATACATATATCTTGAATGGTTTCTTTAAAAGTGAGCTAAACACAGCTAATTTAAAGAAAAGTTAATTCAAGGTCATTTAAAATGTAATACAGTACTAGTATACATACATACAAGGGAGAAAGAGTTGCACGGTTGATAAGAAAAAGACATAAAAAGGAGGGATAAACCAGATACTTTTTATACATATACATGTACATAAGTTCTGAGCAAAAATATTTGTTTTATATATACATCATATATATGCATACATACTTACAGTATATCTAACACACTTTAACATAAATATAATTTTCATCATAAATCAGTTCACATACCTAAGACTTAATTTATGTAATGCTTTTTGTAAAAATCTTCCAAGAGAATTTAATATATCTATTAATTCCTCGGAATACATGAGAAAATAATTAAATTTTTGACAACATAGCTTTAATAACTCTAATTATTAATATCTTATATAGCTAGGAAAAGTGCTTGGTGTCAGCTTAATTGGGAATGCTGTGTGGCAGTCAAGCATTTTGTTCTCTTTTGGTCTGATACATGAAAGTCAGTTGGAAGAGCACATATTTTGGGTAGTTTTTTTTGGGTGAGGGTGTTACAATCCTGGTCTGGTTTACTGCATTTATTCCCTTAAGCTTGTTACATCTGTATTTTAACCCAGGACATAAGCAGTGTGTGATTCAATTTTTTTCTCTCTAATGTAAATTCCTTCTGAATGATACAGAGCGGATGCTGGCAGTAGGTTTGGCTTTGGGTCCATTTGCTCATTTATGGTACAGCAAGATTGTGGACAAATTAGTACCTGGGGTAGCCACCACTCAGACAGCTGTTAAAAAAATTCTAGCTGATCAGCTTATAGCCGGACCATTCTTCTGTAGTGCTTTTTTCTTTGGTAAGAGATTGGTTTTGCACACTTTTATTGTACTTCCAATTGTATTACAGTCAAACCTTCTTAGATTGAACTTGATGGGACCAAGAAAAAAACTCCTAAGTTATCAAAAAATTCAAAATATTAAGGGTAAAATAATTAATACCGTATAAGTGGAATTGTTAGCAAGACGCAAATTTGGCTATTTTTCTTAAAAAGTCGATATTTTATTTTTGCAAGAAGTAATTTTAGCGATTTTGTAATACATGTACAAAGAAAGATAGGGATTACCTAATGGAATGAATAATTCAATTATTGTTAGCAAAATTAAGTTTTAGCAATCTCAACAACCTTGCAAAAAATGCTAAAATTGAATCCTCGCTAAAATTGCTGCATGTACAGTAAGTGTTTTGGACTTTCATATTACTTCTACATATCCATAGTACATGTATTTGAGATAATGGTGTTCGATCTACTGAAGTTCATTTGTACCGGGTATATGGCATGATCCACCTTTACCTGCATTCAGTGTCTACTTTATAAAGAGTGTAGGATTTTTCTTCAATTTTAAAAGCATCTTAATGAATTAAATGGTATACATATACAGTCGAACACGGATATCTCGAATACCATGGATATGTTGAAGTAATTGGGAAGTCCTAACCACATATTTCTTAAGTATTTTACTCTCGATATCTCGAACCCTGGGATATATCAAAGTTTTTTCTCAGTCCCATCGAGTTCGAGATAAAGAGGTTTGACTGTATATATAATCATGATATAGGAATGGGAATGTTGGAAGGAAAAGGGGGACAAGGGGCTATTGCTGAGGTTAAAGAAAAGTTCCTACCAGTGTACATGGTAAGATTTGACAACTATAGTATTGCAAACATTCTTTGATATTTAATTTGCATGCACTGTATATATATGGTAGTTATCTTGTTGGAAAGTTGAAAATGGAGAAAAATTCAAGATCTCTTTTCCAATTTGAATTTACTTTGTCAAAATATGTTACAAGAACTGTCAAATTAGTTAATACATGTATATGATTACGTAGAGAAGTATTGCAATTCTTATTTTTAATTAAAAAATTCTGAATCATATATTTTATGGAAAAAATGAAAAATATCGTATTTCAGATTGATTGGTGTGTATGGCCACCAGCTCAGTTTATCAACTTTCGATTTCTTCCTGTTGAATTCCGTGTAATATATGTGGCCTGTATCACACTCTGCTGGAACACATTTTTATCATATTACAAGCATATGGTAAGAGGTTTTTTAGTTAAAAGTAATAATTATTATGTACATGTAATTTTTAGCTCACCTGAGCCGAAGGCTCAAGTGAGCTTTTCTGATCGAAATTTGTCCGTTATCTGTCGTAGTCGTTGGTGTCGTCGTTGTTGTAAACTTTTCACAATTTCATCCTCTTCTCAAGAACCACTGGGCCAATTTCAACCAAACTTGCCACAAAGCAGCCATGGGTGAAGGGGATTCAAGTTTGTTCAAATGAAGGGCCATGTCCTCTTTCAAGGGGAGATAATAGAGAATTGGTGAAAAAAATTAATAGCATATTTTTAAAATCTTCTTCTCAAGAACCACAGGGCCAGGAAAGATGAAACTCATGTGGAAGCATCCTCAGGTAGTGTAGATTCAAGTTTGTTCAAATCATGACCCCTGGGGTAGGGCGGGGCCACAATGGAGGATCAAAGTTTTATATAGCAATATATAGGAAAAACCTTTAAAATGTTCTTCTCAAGAACAGCAAAGCCATGATGAGTCATATTTATATGGAAGCATCATCAGGTATTGTAGATTAAAGTTTGTTCAAATCATGACCCCATTTGGGTAGGGCGGGCCATAATGGAGGATCAAAGTTTTACTTAGAAATATAAAGGAAAAATGTTCTTCTCAAGAACAGCAAAGCCATGATGAGTCATATTTATATGAAAACATCCTCAGGTAGTGTAGATTCAAATTTGTTGAAATCATGACCCCTGGGGGTAGGGCGGGGCCACAATAGAGGATCAAAGTCTTAAATAGAAATATATAGGAAAATATCTTCTTCTGAAGAACTGCAAAGCCATTGTTGCGCCTGCATAGCAAACCTTTAGTGTTGTTTAGAATGTATCTTTCATAGTTATGTTTTCCTTATAGAACTAAAGATGCATGTTTACACTTGGAACAACAAATGTCAGTGTTTCATTTTGATTACGCGGATTACGTTTACCTGTAGTATATATTTCCACTTTTGTCTATTCTAGAAGAGTGTCTCTTAAAATTATTATGTCTTGTGGAACTTAGCATCAAAAGATTTATTCATTATATATGATAACTGGAAATGCATGAGATTCAGTAATTGCGGAAGCTGTATGGTAGAGATGAATATATCCGGAATGTTGGCAGACGAGTAGTTTCTGGATATATAACTCTAGAAATAATAAGCTTAAAATAATTATAAAATTATAGATATATAAAATAGATCTTTTGGAGTCTTATCAGTAGGTTGGTTTATCCTAGTTTATTGATGAAAGTATTGTTTTTGGAGTTTTACATTTTACATATGACGTAGTCGCAGCATCACTGCGTCACAGTATAAAAGCAGCGAACTCGAAGCGTCGTCGTCAGATCTCCTCCAGAAAAATGAAGAAAAAGTCGGTGTTGGTCGGTGCCAGTAAAGTTTAAGGTAAATTCATATTTTAGATAAGTTAGAAAAAGTTTCAAACCTTCTTAGCCTATTTAGAAATAGTAATATTAAAATATAAATTCTTTAGAAAATATTTGAGAATTTTTATTAGCTTTAAAGTATTCAGATATTGACTACTCGGTATGAGATTCTGAACCAAAGTTTGTTTCTTAAATTATTAGAATAAATTTTAGTATTATCGACTGTGCAAGTTTAGAATAATTAATTCCGTTTTTATTGAGATTTAGCTAAAGTTAATTTACGGTGCAGTTTGGCACCGGCGGCACTGAGCACCGGGTAGCACCGTGCACCTGGTCGCACCGAGCACCGAGTAGTATATATTAGACCATTCTAAGTTGCATAGGTTATATAAATGATGGTTGGCATTAGCACAAGAACTTTCCTATCTACGCATGACATGCTAGCATAGGATGGGGGTGGACTTTTTGTTATTAAGAAGTAGAAATTTGGATTTCAGATATAGTTTTGAATACAGTATCAGAGTTCCTGATTGTGCCTGTATAGTTATACCTAGTAGTAGCAGCAGATAGCACCGAACATCTTGAAGCTCCGGAAACCGAGAAGTAGTACAGAACACCTAGTAGCACTGAAAACCTTGTAGGCTTGTAGCACCGGAAACTGAGTAGCACCGAACAGCCCCGAGCACCGAACAGCCCCGAGCACCGAAAAGCACCGAGCTCTGTGTATACGTAGCACCGAGCTCCGCGGAAGTTCAGCAGTATACTTAATATTGAAGAGACATTTTAAATATTTATTGAACTTTATTGTCTTTGATGCTATAATAAATGTATGTATTGATGCTATAATAAATATATGTATTGATGCTATAATAAATATATGTATTAACTGTTTATATATATTTCTTTTCTTTATTAAAACTAGGTACCTTCAAACCCAACTATTGTAACGTGCCTCATAGGTACCGAGTTGATGTAAAATTACACGTTACAATTGGTGGCAGCGAATTAATATATATTTACTTATAAAACCCAAAACGTTACACCATGATAAGTCATTTTGATATGGAAGCATCCTCAGGTAGTGTAAATTCAATTTTGTTCAAATGATGACCCCCGGAGCTAGGGTGGGACCCAATGGGGGATTGAAAATTTTACATAGGAACATATAGGAAATTATCTTCTTCTCAAGAACTGAAAATCAAGTTTAGTCATTTTGATATGGAAGCATCCTCAGGTAGTGTAAATTCAATTTTCTTCAAATGATGACTCCTGGGGCAGTGGTGGATCCAGGAATTTTGTAACGGGGGTGGGGGGGGGGGGGGGCGGGAGGGTCAGTAGAGGCAGTGGGTCAGGGGGCTGCATTGTGGGTCTAGAGCAAGGCCTTGGTGGGGGTATGGGAAGGTGACGAATTTTTACAAAGAAGAGATGTTTTTTCCTTGATTTTAGGATAATGGACATATATGTTCTACATAAAAATAATTCAAACAGGGGGCGCACCGGCCCTGGATCTGCCTTTGCGGGGGTAGGGTTGGGCCCAATGGGGGATCAAAAGTTTTACATAAGAACATATAGAAAAAATATTTCTTCTCAAGAACAGAAAAACTATGTTTAGTCATATTGATATCGAAGCATCCTCAGATAGTGTAGATTCAAGTTTGTTCAAATGATGACCCCTGGGATAGGGAGGAGCCACAATGGGGGATCAAATTTTTACAAAGGAGTATATGGGAAAATTTGAAAATCATTTCAAGTACAACAAAACCATTTGTTAAATTGACATGGAAGGTAGTTTAAAATTCAAGCCCCCCCCCCCCCCCCCCCCCCCCCAGTAATCTTTTCAATAATGAACTGATTTGTGCTATTGCCTAGCCAATGTGCTCAGGTGAGCGATGTGGCCCATGGGCCTCTTGTTTTCTTGTACTTCAGTTTTGCATATTATGGATAAAGAGTCATTTACATCAATGCTAACAAATTTCTGTTTAAGGACATTGGCAAGTCAGGGCTTTCCGGAGAAAAAAGGTTTAATACATGGGTTTTTTCACTTGTAAAATAGTGATTGAGAGTGATCTCCCGTGTAGAATTCTCCAAGCGGTGAAAACCAGTAAAGCGTATGTTATAGAGGTAAACAAAAGCACGTGTACTTCCTTCAACGGGTAGAAACTTCTATACAGCAAGAAAGAAAAGTTGTAATGGCTTTGTTGTACATTGTATTCAGGGACAAAGAGCAAACAGGTCGTCATTTACCATAGTTATGCTCAGTATGCTGGGAAGGGCAAAGATGTGACATATGCTGAAAGGTAGGTCGACCATGCCGACTGAGAACAGTTCTTAGGTCGTGTGAAAGAATCAGCATTTAGTAATTACGAATAAAAGTTAAAAATAAATCCATGTCAATATTTTTATGACAATGTATTTCAATCAATTCAGTCAATTACATGATAAAAACAATCAACCAGTCATTTGACCAATTTTAGCTGTTAAGGGACGCAACTCAAAAATGATGATCGGTGCCGGTATATCCATGTCTTTTTTTTATATATACATTTTCAACCAAAATATCTAGAAGTCATAGGAAATGAAGTTACAATAATGTATACAATACAAAAACTGTATGAAATAAATGGGTTTTGAAGAAATATTATGGTGAAAATTTATGTAGGTCCCTTTTATCAACATTTTACATAGGAAATGCATTAAGAATTGTAAAAACACTAATTTGACAAAATCTAAAAAAAGAATGCTGGATTAGTAGGTAAAACGATCCAGAATATAGCCTATTTAGTACATTTGAACCTACTCAAAAGTTCTTGATAAATTCTATACAACAACCAGGAACCTTGCCAATGTCCTTAAAGCAATGAAATATGAAGTTGAGTAACTCAATTGTGTTTTTATTTTTTTATAGGATTCACATAAGATTGAGGAAAAACAAGAAAAAGTCACAAGCTGATGATCAATTTTTCATAGGGAGTGAGAGACTTGTATTAGTCAGAGTTTATTTTATTAGTCAACTATTGTTATGAGATTTTCATTTTAAGATATATTGTGTTTATTATACATGTACTTGTCTGTTCAGCATAGGCTCCAGTCAGCGATTATTTTTATAACAAGTTTTCTTCTCATTCGTGTATTTATTTACATGTCTTTATAATCTCCCATTTAAGTTTTTTAAATCTTTTTTTTTTCAATGATCAATGTACAATTATTTATACGTTGAACTTGATATTTATTAAAAATTTGAATAAGAAAAAGAATTCATGTGTTTTGCTTTTTATGGACCATTCGTGTATACATGTACTGAACTTGGGATAACATATGGTTTTGTGCACCTGTCCGTTCAATGATTTCACATTACTCTCAAGAATAGAAACAAAATACTAACAATTATTTTTTAAAAATCTATATAAACTTCTAAAGTATCACAGGTATAATATTTACAGTAGAAAATACATTTACAAGTTAATAACTGATTAGATATGATTGTTGTCACCTTAAGCCCTCGTATTTTGCTGTTCGACAGTTCTTGCTGGAGGGCAAACATTTTCTCATCTTAGCAGGAAGTACCCAAGATTTTCTCTGGGTAACATTCACTGATGTCATTGTGATATATCAAGTACTTATGATCTGTGTGGGGAAGTTTCTGTAAATTCATTTACCATTTTTCTGGATGATTTTTATAATTTCTGATTAAGAGAATGGATATTTATTAAACTTACCGTAATACAAAATGACTTGAAGGGATTGGAATATTGCTGAAAATAAGTAAGTATCAGAACATTATACCAGTATCATAATGGATTAATTGTCTATTAATTGTTTTACTGACATTGTAATGAAAATAATTTTTGAATGCAATTGTTTGTAATAATAATTTAAAGTTTTCATTTAGATCCTTCACCAATAAGAAATGTCAAATCACTAACAAGCATTTGATTTATAATCTTTTTTTCTTCTGTATAAATACATTATATGTGTAATAAATTATTATTATTATTATTTTTATAGTCTGTAGTATCTTTAAGACATGGGATTCTGGAAACAGCTTGGTTTACTTTTATGGAAAAATTATACTTTGAGAAAAAGACAAAAGGTATGTATTTTAAAGTGCAACATATATTGAAAGTGTACTTGAATAAACATCTCAGAAAAAAATGTTTGATTCTGAAATTAAGGAGAAATCCCCCTCCCCCCCCCCCCCCCCCCCCCAAAAAAAAAGAAAAAGATTTTATTCTGAAATTTAGGAGGAATCATACCTTATATATATAGTGTATCACTATTGCAAAGTTTTAAGGTCATGTTACATTTCATTTGTACTGTCTACATTGGTAGCTAAATGGTTTAGAGTGCATGCATTTGCCACAGGAGGAAACTTATTTTTTATCACTGATTTATACTCTGCATTGGGATATTTTGCTAAGTTATATACATTTTTAAAGTTTTAAAAAGTATATTACATTGTACAAAATTCTTTCAATTTATAGTATTTTTAAAGGTGTGTTATGCCTTCTAAGAGTTGTAATTTTGGAAAGGTGATTAAGTTCATGCACATCATTTGTATTATATGATTCATAGTCTCAACATGACCTGTTGTGGGTTGGTGTGAGACCAGTTGTAGGGTAGGTGTGACGTTTGTTGTGTAATTATTATTTTATAAACATCTACCTGAGCAGTCATTGTTGATCTTCATATCAGATTTATCAAAGGATGTTACAGATACATAATGATACACAATATGTATGAACAAGTAGCTTTTTATTACATATGACACATTTTCTATCCATTTAATTATTTTTATATAGAAAGGAAATTGATTTGATTATTAAATTGAATTTGAAATTATTTGTGTTTTAGACATGATTGTTATAAAATGAAAAAACTAATATTGCAACACACCATTACATTTTAAAGACAAACATACTTTTATACGATATTGTCAATGGAATATGTCAGAATCAGAGGATTCTGCTATTGATTATGTTAAATGTGTTTATGCCCCTCCCTCGTTCTGAAAAAAGGGGGCATATTGGTTTGCACCTGTTGGTCAGTCAGTATGCCAGTTGACATGATTGAGAATTCTTTGTTTGACATATATCAAACTTGGTTAATACTGATACCCCATAAAGAGTAGATGACCCCTGTAGGTTTTAAATACTAAGGGTCAAAATACTCTGAATAAAAGAAGATATTGCCACCTCAATATCTTGAAATTCTTTAGCTTGACTTACAACCAAACTTAGTACACTGATACCCCTAAGAATTGGATATGGGGTCACAGGGTCATTTGTCAAGGGTCAAACTACTCTAGAAATAATAAGGTAATGTCCTCTCAATTTTTTGAAAATCCTCTGCTTGGCAGAATCAGACTTGGTACACTGGTACATGTACTCCCATAGGTGTTGATGATTCCTTTTGATTTTGAGGTCACAAGGTCAAACTATTCTGGACCTTAGAAGATATCCTTTGCTTGACAGACATCAAACTTGGTACACTGGTACTCTTAATGAGTAGAAGACCCATACTGATATCAAAGTCAGACACTCTAAATTTAAAGTTCATTCTTTTCAGTATTGCCATGGAAGAGAAGATTAATATATTTTAAGTTGTGTTTTATAGTGTTAATTTTATTCATAAAAAATGTACTGGCATACATGTATATTTGTTTATCAAGAACTTAAGTATAATGTATATATTAACATGTAGATCATATTTCTGTATCAGTCACATTTGCAATGAAATAATCAATGAATATAAAATTGTACATGAATTAAAAGGTGACATTTTTGAGATTTGTTGATTTCTATTAAAAGTTGTTGCTGCCCCCCATCCTTCCCCCACCTCCTCCCCCAATAAATCGTGATTGCATGTTTGCGCTATATGGACCATGGATATCAGCCTGGATAGCTTAGTGGTTAGAGCACCTGATTAGTGATACAGGGGTCCTGGGTTCCATTAACAGTCCAACCGTATTGTTTTTATTCATTCCTCCTTTCTTTCTACAATTGGTGCTCTGTGGGGGGGGGGGGGGGAGGGGGGGGGGGCTTGTTTTAGGTTGTATGTACCATAATTAGTAATTCCTGACAAGGTGAACTTATGTCTTCAAGGACAAAGACTAAGGAAGGAATGAGGTGGCAGTTTGGCTTTATGGACTGTGAATACTGGCCTGGGTAGCTCAGTGGTTAGAGCACCTGATTAGTGATACAGTGGTCCTGGGTCTATTCCCAGTATAGCCAAATATTTTCTTTATTCATTCCTCTTTTCTTACTAAAGAAGTGTCTGTAATAAACAATAAATCTGCATTATTTATTAATAAGAGATATTTATTTATACTGTCTTTTTCACAGTACAGATTATTGGCTGAAATAGTGACACCTACCATCTTGCTGTTAGTATTAGTACTGGTCAGAACTCGCCCGGATCTTCAAGAGTACAACCATGAATGTAAGTCACCTTACTACTGAGTCTGTAAGTCACCCCACGAAGTTATTGGAAGTCTTACCTCTCTATGTAATGACAAGCATATTATGTATGCAGCATATATATAACTTAATTATAGACGTACAGTCTTTTAATTGTTCATAATCCTACTATTACCTGCAGTCATTATATTCACATGTGATTTCATGTTAAGTTTTCTGAACTGTGTATGAACAAAATTGCAGTAAAACATGGTTATAGCGAAGTCCTGTGAATTTACTTCACTTTGTCGGTAATTTGCTATATCCATATCACGTATTAGTTAAAATTACTGGTATATAGGGAATTCACAGTTATATGTACATGTTTTCCTTCAAGTATGACTACCAAATATGTTTAGGGAAGTTGTAAATACAAAACTTATTTTAGGGTACGAAAGTTTCTGATGAATTTTATATATAAATACTTAGAAAAAATAGTGTCAGTTCAATATTTTAAAATTTAGGTCTTAAAAATTCGCTGTAAAAGATGTTAATTTCATTATTTTTAATCTCTACAGGACACAAATTCAGTGTGCTATATCCGTAAATTTGTTATATCAGAGTTCGATATAACTGTAAAATTTTACAAAGAATTGCTAAGAATTTCGCCAGGATCCAAAAATTCTTTGCTATATCAGTAAATTGCTATTTCAGTATATTTGCTACATCTGTCTTCATTTATTGTAGAATATTTATAATGTGGAATATAAATTTTGAGTATGTGCTACATGTATACACATTTTAATAAAAATTATTTTACCTCTACTGATTTTTCACTAAATAAGAGTAAATTGATATAATTTGCTGATTCCCTAAAAATTTCCATAAAAAGACTGATTCCCTACAAAAAGGCGTCAGTTTGAGGAACTGATACACACCTATTCGGAACTCTTCACAATTTCTTTTAATCGTATGAAAAGTTCTGATGTGTTCCAAATGAAATATTGAATACTCATAACGCTGCTCAGTTAAAGTCACATATAAGGAGGCAGGGTTAATATAAGAATATGCTTGCTAATTCATGTATTCTATAGACCATGTATTTATTTGAATAAAGGCAATGCCTAATTTCTATTCAATTTATTAATTTATTTTATTTACATTCTGGGTAACTGATATTCCCATTGCACAACTTATAATTGCACTGCGTATAAAATAAAATTGCAAAACTTCACGAGTTATCTGGTGTAATTTTTGTATCAGTATAATAAATCAGCTTCACCTTGGGAAATAAGCTTTCTCTTGGGGAACTGGAATCTTGCGGACTCCCTAAATGATATACTGGTACTTTAACTGTTTATTAGGTAATTAGATCATTTTCTTGTAGGCCATTTTGATGGAAAGGCAATGCCTAGTGCTGGAGTACTCCCATTTCTACAGTCTTTCTTTTGTACCTTTAATAACACTTGCCATGAATCATTTACTCAAGATGAACAACCAGGAAATGTGGGCAACTTTGGAAAGTCCATGTAAGTCGACAATCATAGTAAATTAACTTATTTATGGTTTTGATTCACAAAATTCCAGTGTGAAAATAATTCACGAATCCACATGTATGTATCTTTTTATTTTTGTGTATCCAATTTGCATGATTTGGTTTAGAGACTGATTCACTGTAAGAAGCTTTCTTGTTAAGGAATGAATGCAAAAATCTCATGTTTTAGTCTATAATGTAGATCAATCATAATAAAGTTTGTTTTATTGTGTAAATTGAATAATAGTATCAAATTATG